AAATGTGTTTTAATATAAGTATAAATTAAGGATAAATATTTTGTTTGTAATCTGTTTGTAACCAAATTTGAATGGTGAGTGTTGCCACACTTGCATCAAGATATTCCAAATATGGAACGAGCAAGAAGATGAGAACATAATGGTTTTTTAGCACTTCCAAATTAAGACTTATTTGAGGTATCTCCCATTATTACGAATCTTACTAATAATTAATAATAGTTATTATGTAGATTATACAATAATATAATAATAATAATAATAATAATAATAATAACACAGTATAATAAAGTAATGATAATAATGGTAACAAATACAATAAATAATCAGTAATAGTGATAAATAATAATAATAATAATAATAATAATAATAATAAATAATTCTGCTAAAAAAAAAAAAAAAAAAATGCAATAAGGATGCATACGTGCGTTAATATTCGGATGAGAGCGTGAAAATCGCCAGTAAGATATAAAAATCAATATCCTTTTCTCTATCTTTTCAAGAAGGGGGAATTTTCTATTGTTTTTCTATTAGATGATCTTCTTGAACGAGAAACATCGTTATCGTCAAATGACCATGATAACTGATGAGATGACGAAGCCTAACTCGATACCTTTGCATACATCCTCAACATGCTTATTAACACAACGTGAGGTATTTTGCGCACGTCGGATATAATTTCCATCATCGGCACATCATACTGAGGCAAGGTCGTTGATTGGTTCTCGGATAAATTTCATCAGTGTGATGCCTCTATCAAAGGGTAAATTAATTGGCTATAATATTATGATTATTACCTTTTAGTGAAGATAAAATTGTAGCAAAATAAACAACCACATTCCAATAAAAAATGTCGGTTGGCCATCCGGTTGGTAAACCTGTCCATCAACCTACGACTTCCCCTTTCCGACAGAGGCGTAAACCTTACTTGTATTACTCAATATTTGGTCAATCAGACAGTCATATGAAATATTCGCGTCTTTTATTGTTTTGGGTGAACCACGGTGAAGCATTGTACAGAATAGGTCAGTAATTGGCAATAAAAAAACACCAATAGCAAATCTCTGGAACTTTTCTTCAGGAAATTAGGTTTGTGTATATGAATGTCGATGTACAGTATACAATATATTATTCAAGATTTCTTGGATCATCATCGGAATGCAATGTGTTGGCCGTGTATGGCGTTTTCTTGATCGTTTCTTTAGTTCAATGCACGTGAATGCCTACGCACTCACTAACCCAGATATATAATACAAAGCGAAAATCTGGTTCAAGACCAGTTTTTCCTTTTGACCGTAATTGTCAGTTTTTCTTTGCATTTATGTTATCTTATTTATTTGTGTGTGTGAACGAATGGAGAAATCGGCCCCCTGAAAAGTGGTGTTAAGATTACTGTTAGTAATTTCACTGCAAAGTCACTCAACATCATAAATGCAATGCACCTTCCAACCATATGTCACTTAATTATCTTCAAATATCACATGCAATGCTACCTTTCCATTGTTTCTGATTTTCTACTACGCCTCTCTGTGGAACTAATAAATGCACCACGCATGCGGTGAATGTTTCAAATGATTTGGTCTTTCAATATTTAGTTCGTCTTTATAAAAGGATGGATTTTTATCGGGTTTAAATTTTGTTCTCATAGAAACAACTGTATTCAGGAGATAAAAAAACATTCCCTTGACATGAACTTCGTCCCATATACAACCGACCACGCCGGCCACATAATTCCACCGGATGTAATAGTCCAACTCCCATTACCCCTGGAAGATAATGATCTCTTGGCGAAGCCAAGACGAGGGCGACTTCCTTCGCGGCCACCAAACACCTTCTTAATATTTAAGAGCGCTTATACTCGGGTCCTACAGTCCAGAGGTTTGTGGGACCTTAGAATGAGGGAAGTCACCAGTAGCGCAGCAAAAGCCTGGCGGATAGCCGCACCTGAGGTCAAAGATGAATGCCGTAAGTTGGCGAGCGTTGCAAAGAGAAGACATGAAGAAGTCTATGGACCTGCACCGCCACGCCGCCGCACTCGCAACAGAAGACGACAACAAAGTCGCCGTGTGATAACAGAAGATCCCATCCCTCAAGCTTCTTCACCGTCGAGTTCCCCATCGGAAGATTTTTCACCCTCCATCCCCGCGACCTCCACTCAGGACCCTGCATTCTATTACAATAGTTTAATATCATCAATTTCTGGCACTGGCGGCTGGTCTGATTACGAGATTGACCTGGGTGCCCAGGGATACATCAATCTGTACAACCATCAGGTGTAAAATTGAAACGAACTCTCTCATGAACGTGTACAGAACTTCCCACCTTTATCTCCCTTACACTTTTACTGTTATTTTTTTATTATTATTCACTTATTTATTTATTATGACAAAAAAAAAAAAATTCACCCTAAGCTTAATTACGAAGCAATACGCGGTTCTAGGTAATAATCGATTAATTAACGAACAAACGTATCTGTCAAACATTCGACATTCGTTATTTTTTTTTTTCGTGTAAAATAATTTATGTATGTAACAAAAAAAAAGAAAAAAATAGCAAAAGCAAAAAAATTGGCAAAATAAAATCTAATTCAAAACTGTTTACGTAAACAAATCAGTCCGAGATCCCTCTTTCATGATGTGTTGTTATAAAGAGAGCGATGGCGCACTGATCCGTATTGCGCGCACTCAGCTAAACAAAATTTTCCAATGCCAATTATAGAAAAAATCTCCTTGAACCTCCGCGCAGTTTTTCCAAAGCAATAATTACGTGGTGATGACGACATAGCCTTAAAAAGGAATCTGTTAAAATCCATTGTTTTTTAGCGGGAGTTGAGACGCCATTCTTCTTTTTTTTTTTTTTTTCAAATTTTTGTCACCCCATTGTTTGCAGCTTTCACATAACGTGTGCATATCAAATTATTAGGCCATCGGGAGATCACGAACTTCTCCGAATATGCTTATCTCAGTATTATTATTAAGAAAATGATTGTTATCATCATTTCTCTTTTGTCACATTGATGTCTGACTATGGTACTCTCGTAACGACACACGATAGAGCCGACCTGTTTCAGGAGTCAAAAATAAATACGTACTCCCAAACTCGACAATAATAAGATTCAAATTTAATTGGTTTCATTGCCAAGAAAGTTACTATTGTTTGGGAACCTTCTTTTTTATAAATTAGTACGACAATGTGAACAACGGTTGTTACACTATTGTCTGGATTTCCTTCTCTACGGACGTATGCTGACCATCGAATGTAACTTTGACAATTAACATTAATAAGGTGGTAAACAAATTTCTAAACGCACTTGGAAGTTCATTCTCCTTTGTGTGAGATAAGCGGTTTCTGTGATCCTCGGGAACTCTCCCGCGCAAAAAAAAAGAAAAATTTACGAAAAACATTTCGGAATATATTTATCTAGGGTCGATGATCGCTTCAAAACTGCTTATTTGTACTATTGTTTTCCCGTTTTCCCACCTTACACACATTTTATTCCGGCCGAAGCTTATTTCGGTTATACAGGCGTGAGGATCTTAGCGAGTAACTGACAAGCTCGTCAATTCTATCATGACCGAGGGTACCACCGTTCACCAGATGGACGGTGAGGTTGTTGGTGACCGGCTTGCATTTCTTTAAGGGGGAGGGAAAGTTAACTGGCATTCACCATCCATCCATGGACGAAATAACGTGCAAGATTCCCGCCATGCAAATCATTTCACTTTAAATGTACAAACAAAATCGGAGAAAAATGCATTACAATAAATAAGGAATGTGCTTATTCTTATTTTTTCGGAATGAAAATTTCCCAATATTACCAACAAGGGATTCATTCATTTTTTTTTTTTTAATTACGTATGTTCAGATGGCACCGCATGATAATAAATTATGCAGGGGAAATTTTCTATAGTGAAAATCCGATGATTACGAAATTTTAGTGCTCTATTCTTAAAACGTCTTCATTGTTTTGGAATTTGAGAACTCGTGTCCGACAACAATGGGATGACCTTCTAAACTGCGGTACGTATTCTTGAACAATGTGGTCAGACATTGAAATTCCAAAATTGTACATATTGTTCTCGTTTCCGCTTAGGGGTTCCTACCGGTGACAATGGTTTAAGGGATTTGACTATCCCTATTCGGTCAGCGTGGGGGGCAAAGACATAATTGAAGTAGCACCAGTAAGATTTAGGATTTCTGCACGTCATTCATAATCCTTTCGCATGCTAAGATAAAGTTTTTGATTATTATCACCACCATTTATTCATGCCGCTAAAACGCTCCTTAGGTAATTAGACCCCTCGACCTCTCGCATAATGATTCTAGATTCAGCTGTTATTCTGGGGCTTTGTCTCGCCCAAAATGATCAAATACAATGACATAAGAATTAAAGAGAAAATCCTAATTTAAAAAACGGTCATAACATTGGGTCACACCATTGCACACGTAATAGAGTTTATTGTAATTAAAGTTTAGGAAATTTCTTTCTAAAATCAAAATACACAATAAGGCCAAATTAGGATGTATAACATAGATAGGTCGGTAAATCGTCTAACATTGATATCGATTGTACCCTATCATCATTGAATAAAAAAAAAAAAAAAAATCTACCACCTCATAAAATAAGGTTCAAAGGCTTAATTTGCAATCGCCTTAATGAAATCGACAATTATTTATGTTACATATTTTCCATATTTCCTTAAATGGGCCTATTGTTCATTTAAAAATTCCCTGAATGTCGTTATTCAAAAACTGATCCTGGAGTTTTCCGTGTTTTACATAGCTAATTACGCAATTTACAAGATGTCTGAGGGAAGGACATCGCGGATTAATGTGAATATGAAAAGTAGGATTGTGATAAGGTGAAACGAAAAGTGTACCTCAAAATGCGTTCCAATCACGTGACAAGATTGTTGGTCGGAATTAACAAAAATTTTATTAACCAGGTCAATTGTCCGTGTCATGAATTTTTCACAAAACACTTGAAATCTTAACCTGCATACAAATAACTCGGGGATTCAAGTTAATTAAGTTAATTGAAAATTTTTGCAATTTAATCAAGTTCCAAAATTAGAATCGCATAGGCTTGCATAGAATGCATACATGTATATACGGTATTAAAGAACATATGTGATAATAACGGAACAATAAGAATCTCCCCTTCAATTCTGGATTCAAACTACTCGGCATGAAATACCTATGCTTATTTTAAATAGCGCCTCCAATGAATATTAAAATTGTAAAATAAAAATTTAATGTTATGACATTACTGTATATACTGTATATGATTTGATACAATATTCTGAAATTATATAATTTATAACTCAATAAAAATAACATACACTTATAGCTGGTATACAGCGTGTTGCAAAACTTTTGAATTATTTATTTGGCTATATTAGAAATGTATTTTTTTAAAAAAAAATATTATATAAATGTATATACTGTATATTGATATTTATAATAAGAATAAAAATCATCAATTAATTTTTTCATTTTTCATCTAATAATTTTTAATATACCGTCAATTCATTTTTTATAACTCAACAATTTAATCCATCAAAATATAATAATCCGATGATTTTTTTGATTTTTGTTATTTGTGAATTTGAAAAAAGAATACATTTATAAAATATTTCATTTTTTTCAATCAAATTGGTTGTTGATACCTTATAAGAAAAAGCGGTAATTTTTAAAATTTTTTAAATAAACCTGTATGGTATATTAAAATAAAATAAATTACATATAATAAATTAAGTATTTGCAAATTATTTAAAAAACTAAATCAAACAACAACAATAACAACAAAAACCAAAACAATAATAATAATAGTTAAATTCTTTTAAATTAAATAAACTTGTTAATTGGTTTTAATTAATTAATTTAATTAAAAAAAAACTTTTTTTTTGCTTGAAATTAATTGCAACAAATTAATTGCTGTATTAATAATTTGATTAATTATATTATATTATTTATTATTTACAAAAATAAATTTTATTATAAAAAATTACTTAATATATTTTTTAAATACAATATGCTATTATAAAAAGGTATAAAAAAAAAATAATTAAGTGCATAATACTGTAACCCAATTACTGTATATCATAATTAAAGCCTTAAAAAGATTGTGAAATAATTAGAATCTTACGATTAAAGATATAAGAAATAAAATTGAGATGAAATTAAATTACGATGAAATCTGTTTTTAAAATTTTAATCAAATTATATTCAAATATAGAATTGTTATTTTTATAATCACAACCGTATAAAAGACATGTAAAGAATAAAATTTCCAATTCAAACACTAAATCTCTTAGGCGCATTCATTTACCTATTTCGACGTTACACGATCGGCGATCGCGACTTAGCGACAGATTCCTCAGCACTGTATAATGAATATTATTTATAATGTGGCATAAGGGTTGCACATGACGCGATGTTAGATTAGTAGACACGTCGCAGGTAATAATAACAGTAGACTAGAATTGTAAAATTGGCAGTTAATAAATTGCACTTGCGCAAAGATAATCCAAATTGGACAGGAGAATTGCACATGAGACTTTGGCAAAAGATTAGAAATCGATGTTTGTTAGTGACTTTGCTAAACCGTATATGCCTCAAGGAGAACATTAAAACCCAACTTGCCTTATTTATACACTAGTACTGGTCCCGGATTTGCGAACGACTCGCCAATAACGATAACATTTGGTGGTGGTTATGAGATACCACAAGATGCGACATTCAGTTCGTGTATAAAAAAGTGAAAACCTTTATTAATAACTATCAATTACACCAAAAAATCTAGAATGATAACATGAAACGAAAGAAGCTTTGTACCTGCCTTCGTGCATTATTTGCGTCGTGTCATCCGAACAACGATATAAATGGCGCAAGTGGATTGTTCAGTCTGAAATAGAAGGATAATAAAAAAGTATTAGCATATGCCTATAAGTACGGAGGTTTCTGAGAAGGGTTGATTGACCTGACGGTATATAAAAAAACATTGAACCCGACTCTAACATCGAATTAAACCCCGGACCCTGCCGTATAGATAACCCAATGGAGAGGTTGTCAATGCCGCCTAAATATAACCGGTCGGAAATTGTAAAAGGAAAGGTTGGGGAACTAGGGCGACCTGAACAAGTGGATGAAACACTAGTGAAAATATTTTAAAAATTACTTATAACATCATAAATTTCTCTTTTTACTGGAAATTTTTTTATTATTTATATCTTTAATATTTAATTTATAATTACATAATAAAAATTTATTAAAGACAGTAGAACGAAGACAATAATATATATTCATATAATTATATATACAAAATAAAATTTTTTATTCTATCGAATGAATAGTATAGATTTCGCGCATCTTATCACTTTTCCTCAAAATCCCCAGTAAAAAAGATACTTTTTCGTAATGTATAGACAGGTCTCCACATTAATTTTGTATAGTAATGGACTTTCGGATCGAGATATTTAATCATAGCTCTACTCGGGATGATAGTCAAAGAACCGGGTGATAAGTTGTTCAGGCCGCGATAATATTCCTTGGATCGTTTGGCGTTAAAAAAAATAATTAATCATTAAATGTTCAAAAATCTAAATTCAATAACAAATACAAATTAAATTTACGCACCTTAATATCGTTCCTCTCCAAAAAAAATAAAAACACCCTCGGAAAAAAAAAGGAAAAAAAAAATAAAACTAAAAAGAGTCATATAAAATACTCGACTCTTTCCACTAGCTATAGAACTGATCCCCCTAAAGAGCTGCTTTCCGACTAGAGGTAATGGATTTTTGGATCAAGATATTTGAGTAGTTTTGTTCCTTTCAGTAATAGTATTCTTTTAACCGTTTAGATACAAAGTTCCATGGCACTTTGCACAAGCTTAGATCAAGTAAATACTTGCCGACAAATCCAACTTCTCTAGTCCCGACAAACTCAAGAAGACAGTAATATACATCACTCGCCCTATAATGTCGTACACGCATGGCTCATAAAAAACTGAGTCTCTCGTGTGCACATACGGTACACGCCAATCCCTCCTCTCGAAATTAGTGGACATCACTGGGCTGACAAATGAAATGAAAACGATAGGATAGGGAACGATGAGCGGAATAAAATAAAAAAAAGTCGAATAAAAATAAAATAGAATAATATTTCGACTTTTTCGCAATGCATAGACAGAGTACCAAGGTTGTATACCGACTAGAAGTAAAACGTGCTCTTGATTGCAAAAGTTCCATGATATCTTTACAACTAGTTCAGGCCAAACTAAAGTCACGACGAACCCAGAAATACAATGTTATAATGCCACTTGCCTATGTGTCATTTCTTGAAACCGGTCACTTCTCAAAATATGACTGACTCGTTAGAATCAGCAGACATTATAGACTTGACAAAGGGGCTTCTGAGGGTTTTTTTTTTAGCCTAAGAAAAGAAAGGGTAAAAATAAGGTCTTTTCAAACAAGGAGTTCCTAGGCGTAGAGAGGAAGAAAGTAAGTTGAGCTATTTTTACATGAAACTCACCTATTTTATATATTCTGACGCGTTTGTAACATACACGTGTAAAATCAATAAATTACGTATTTTTATATCTTGCATGTCATGTGATAATGAGTCTGGAAAGTCCTACTGTAACAAAGTTATAATATCATATATACAAAAAATTTCAAAAAAACTCGAAATTAGATCTTTATATATTTTTCGAGATAAATTTTAATATGAAATTATAAAGAATATGTTTATTTAGAAAAATTTTTTTAAAATATTAGTACTAATATTATTAAATTTTGATTTGAAAATAAAAATTTATTTTTATTATTATTATTTTTTTTTTGTAGATAAACATAAAAATTTGTTAAAAGATCTTTTAAGATTTTTTATTTGTTAAAAGTTTTAAATTAATTGACTAAATTTTTGTTAAAAAATTATTATTATTATTTATTATAAAGAATATCAAATACAAAACTTTATTAATATATATATTATATTTGAATTACATCAAACATCTTTACAAATTTAAACTTTTTAAATTAATATTAATCTATTTACAATATAAACTATTATTATTCTAAATATACTTAATATATTTTGGATTAGTTTTAGTACTGGATGATTAATACACTTTCAAAACTGATATAAGAATTTACAATTTAATTAAATTGTTATTAAAACTGAATTGTAAGTTTATTGTTTTTATAATATAATCTAAAAGGCTTAAATTATTTAACATTTGTTAATATATATTAATTTTATTAAAATTGTTTAATATTTAGTATTGATTGTACTATCTAATCTTTAATACTAATAATATATTGATTATTATTGGTTTAGGTACCATATTAATATATATAAAAGTACTAATGTTTTGTTTATTAACTTGACTTAACTGTTATTTAATAAATACAAGTTTATATTATTGTTTTATAAATCAATTTGTCTTAAGAGAATTTTCTTTCAAGATTTAGTTTCTATATAATGCTTATTGTATTTATTGATTTCTTTTTCATATTATTTTTATTAATAAGTTTAATTATTTTAAATTTTAACTTGATTTTGATCTTTTTATATGCAGTAATATTTTTATAGCACTTAAATATATAGTTTTAAGTTTGTATTACTGTAAAAGTTTTAACAAAATTATTAGTAATTTTAAAAGACAGTAAACTTGAACAATTATTATTTTAATACCAACAGAATTAAAACTTTATTAAGGTTAAAAGGATATTTTTTTATACATGTTGACTTTATACAATATAAAAATAAATAAATAAATATAAAAATACATATATTTATATAAGACTTAAACTTTAAAAAAATATGTATTTAATTAATAAACAGAAAATATAAAAAGAAATAAAAAGAAAATAATATAAACAATATGCATACTTTATAATCTTATGATCTTAATTTGATTATATTAGCTTATAGTAATTAATTAATGATATTTTAATAATATAACACATTATCAAGAGTTAAAATTATATCATATATATATTTAGCAATTATTTAGAAATATGTTTTAAACTTATAGATCATCAGAAGTAGTCAGATACTTTTCAAAAGCATTTGAGTTACCAGATACAGTATATTGTAAATCCCATGGCATAGTTACAGGTTAAGATTATTACATTATTTTTTTCTTAAAATTTGATATTCTTGTCAACTCAAATTCTTGAAATTTCTCTTGAGCATTGGTAAATTTTCTTGAAGTTTTCAATTGGCATCATATAAGAGATATTCAGTTTATTTGATGAGATACTGTGGCTTGTTTCAAATAACTCACTTGTTCAGATGGTTTCCATTTCATATTTTTCTGTTCTAGTCTCAAGGATATAAATAACTGATAGTAATAATAGTCTTTCAAATTTCTCTAATGATGACTTGTATAGCTTAAGTAATAAGACATGAAATATAAAATGAATCTTTAGAACAATAAACAATTTCAACTTGTATGTAGTTTCTGAGATTACTATAATAATGGTATAAAGTTTGACAAATCTTAATGTTAACTTTTTTGTAGAATGATTTTGATTAATATAATTATTGAAGTTCTTTAAGGAAAGTAATACTTGATTTTCTTTTTGAAATATTAGATGGTGGCAATATTAATTGACATACTTCATTAATGATTTTGTACTTTTATTAAGATGTCTTTAGCAATCTTGATTATAATGTTCTAGTAATATATAAAATCATTGACTGTTGGTACTGTTGTTGATATTACAAGAGTTAAAGATATTTTGGGATATTGTTTACAGTTTAACTCAAAAAGATATGAAACCTGTTAATGCTTGCTTAGCATTGTTATATATGAATTTGATAGCAGGCAAGTATTTATCCTATTAGTCTTACTTGTATATAACATATACAGTATATACAATATTTCTTCCAAGGTTCTGTTAAGACACTATATCTGTCTATCAGTTTAGAAATAGATTGCTATTAACATAACAATCTTCATATTCAGTTGTTAAAACAGGATTTGTTAAAAATAGTTGATAAATCTTGCATCCTAATCTGATATAATGGTTTTTGATAACTCATGATGTTTGAAAATCTTGACAACTTTTAAAGCAATGGCAGTGGTATCATTGGATAAAGTGAACTCTCTTTAATAAACAATCAATAAATATAATAATAGTATCATATTTATTCTTGCTTAAAAGCATTTGAACAATAAAATTTATAATAATTTCTTTACATCTTTGGTTTAGAGTTAACAAGAATTAGAGAAGTCCAGTAAGTTGTTGATTGCTTGGTTTGTTCCACTGGCACAAGTTACATATTAGTATATATTTTTATATATTCTTACTTATTTT